CGCCAAATCCTCATACCTCTTCCTCTGCGTGATGCGCAACTCGTACGCCGCGCGCACGGCATGACTAAACAACGACTCACCACCCTCGCAGGTATTGGCGAGGCAGTGCAGCAGCTGCAGTCCCGGGACGGGGTCGTGGTACATGAGGTCCTGGTGCAGGCACAGGAACTTGTCCGTGTAGGCGACGTTCTCGGCGCGCGCCTTGTTGCGCACGTCCCACGTGCGCCCGTAGAAGGTCTCTTGCACGGGGCCGATGCGGCTCGCCACGCGCTCCACGGCGCTCTCGTCCGCGGGCACGTCCGTCACGAAGATCGTGTCTGGTGCGTCGGAGGTCGGTGAGCGCGGATTGGAAAGCCGCGTCTGATGAAGAGGAAGTCGAGTTCATCCAGTCCTCGTAGCTCACGCGGCAGCGGCCCGCGGAGAGGAGGGCTTCGTAGCCGGCGCGGTCCCAGAGGATGCGCTTCGGGTCGCTGTGGCCCATGCTTCCGCGCTGCCAGGCCGAGTTTGTTTGCCAGGCTCGGAGCTCTGCGGCGGGGTAGAGGCTCTGGTGCTGGCCGCCGCCGCTGGGGCCGTCGTTGGACCAGATGATTTCGAGCGAACCGTCATGGTGGAGTTTGGCGTTCTCGATTGTCGGGTTGTCGTGTAAATCGGTGGTCGAGAAGTTCTTTTGGCCCGAGTCTGGGTCGACGCAGCTATGGCAGGGGCACGAGTCGCGCAGCCAGAGGTGGGACACGGCGAGTTCATCCCATTCTTGATTCTGGAAACGGAACCTGAGCTTGTCCTCGGACCATTCGACAACGCCGCCGTTGGATTGCGGCCGCTTCCAATCTTTTTGGTGGTGGCTCAGTCCGTTGTTGGCGTTGACATCCTTATGGTTGGTGGGAGATAATGCAGCTGATGCAGATCGACCACCCGGATGGTTGGCGGGGGATGTATGGACCCCGCGGTGCTGCTGCCACAATCGAGCCGAGGCCACTACCGGCGGCACCACTGGCAAACGTGCAGCTAAGATCTGCGTAGACCGTGCGATATGGATTGCTCTCCCCATAATGACCGACTGCGAGCGCGGAACGGTGGTTTTACGACGAATGGACGATTGGCAGTAGGCCGTTAGGGGAGAGCGATTTGTTGGAAGAGTTCCATGCCAGCATCGGCAAAGCACACCCACATGTTATGGACCGCGGCTGTGTGCGGCAAAGGCATCGTGAAATTATTGCAGGGGTCTTTAAATTCTCCGCATTTGGCCATAGGACGGGGACTCGCGCGCGGCCCCCTTTTTGGGAAGTACCTCGGCGCAACACCAAACCAGAAATCACCAACCATCTTCGGTATTCCAATCAAGACCTCTAGCCCTGATAATGCGCAAAATAGAAAAAAGGTTGGGTTCTAAGTGTAAATAGTAAATAGCAACCAGCCTCGACTAGTTAGTTATAACTAACTATGTAACTAGTTAACTAACTAATTATTATTTTTATTATTATTATTCATCCTCCCGCTATGCCCTAAGGCGTGCCGGACCCTTTTAGTGTACAGGAAAAACCGTGCCTTCCCGGCCGGGTGAAAAACCCATACCAACAATCAAGGAACGATGCATTCTGGTGAGTCTGCGTATACAAAGAGAGGAGGCCTCCTGACCTCCGGACGGGGGCGTTTCAGGCCGCCGCTTCCAGCTCGAGCCTCCTGGCTAAGCTGTACATCGGCAGCTTCCCCGAGTCCATCAGCCAGTCGAGAACTCTCCTCGCGAGCCGTGCAGTCGTGGGATTGATACCGTGTAGAACAGAGTAAAAGTCCCATCGTGTCCGAATTCCAGTTTTCTCCCATCTTCGAGTCAACGGTGGGGCCAAACACCACACTACCAGGTGTTCGGCAGTCTCTCGTCCCTCGCCACACTCGCAGGCAGGAGTCAGAACCTCCGGGACTCCCCGTGTAAACAAGAAGTCCCGTAAGCCTATTGCTCCCGTCCGGATTTGAATCAGCAGTGAGCTCTTCGCCTTGCTGAGACCGTCGTGCCGTCTTAGGGTTTCATCTCGGAATGTCGTCTCCCGCTGATGGTCAAAGTCGTCCGCCGGTCCTCCATATTATATAGCTCAGTCATTGGCAAGACAAAATTCGTGTGCGAGACATGCCCTCGGCCTCACACTCATGTTGGAACCACTGAAGTTTATTTACATTGGTATCTAAGTCTAAAAATTCAGCTCGATCAAGAATTGCGACGGTCCAGTCTCTGATGTCCCGGAGGAAGTCCCTCTTGTTGATAGTGGCAGAGATAAAAAGACCATATATACAAACCTAAGCTAGCTAAGCCTTTCGCTGTCCACAAAGAAGCCTGAGCCAACCTAAGCTAGGTACCTGGAGTGCATGTCCCAAAATCACCCCCCTCTCCTCACGCCCTCCTTTCCTAGCACAACCCATCTCAAATCTTGCCAAACCCAGCTGTATTAACCACATTCTTCGCCGTATTATAATCCGTCGCCGGCGCAACGTTCTTCCCCCCAAAGTACGTCAAAAACGAGGTATCCGACCCGGAGAGCGCGCCCGAGCTCCCAAACCCATTCGCCTGGCACGAGCGGCCGAGGTACTGGGAGCAGGCGGAGCTGCTGCTGCCGCTGGCAAACAGCCGGCCCGAGCCGCCGGCCTCGAGCGGTGTCTGCACGTTCTGGAACACGCTGCCCTCCACCAGCACCTTGGCGTCCCCGCTGAGCTCGAACGAGTGGCCCTGGCTGTCGTGCCAGTAGTTGTTGACCGCGTGCAACAGCGTGTTGCCGGCCACCTTGGGCGAGCGGCCGGACATGTGGTAGATGTAGTTCTTTTGGAAGGTGATCATCTGCGAGGGGTGGGTGGGCGTGTTAATCTGGTTGCCGCGTTTGAGGTAGGGTTAGTGTGGATAGGGTGATGCTTACGTCGTTGGAGCCGGTAAAGTACATGCCCCAGTAGTGGTAACCGTTGCAGGTGGCGGACCAGGAGGTCTGGCCGTCGAACTTGCAGTTGGAGACGGTGACACGCCCGCTGGGGTTGCTGCCCAGGACCAGGTGCTGGCGGCCGACGAGCGAGGTTGTGACGTGGTCGATCCAGATTAGGTCGGTGTTGTCCAGCGTGATGGCGTCGCCGCCCCAGACGTATTGCGGGTTGAGGTTGGTGATGTGGATGTTCTGGATGATGACGTTCTTGGTGCCGCTGACCATGCGGATGCCCTTGCCCTTGATGATGCCCTTGTTGCCGACTCCAATGAGAGACTTGTTGGACTTGACAGTGATGCCGAGGACGCCGGCCTTGTCGTACTTGATGTTCACCTTCGGCGCGTTGGGTTGCTCAGTATTGCACCAGTTGTTCTTGTTGATGGCAGTCTGGCAGCCGGACCCGGTACCCCAGGGAGCGCAGCCGCCCTCGGTAGCGGTACCCTCGGTCCCGGTGAAGTCGAAGGTTCGGTCAAGCATGATGACGCGGGCCTGAGAGTCGCCGAGGTATGACACCAGTTCAGAAGTGCTCTGAGGGTACACAGGGCTGGCGTTACCACCACCCGTGACGCCCTTGGCAAAGCCCTCGGCAGCGCCAGTGACAGCGGCCACGGTGTGTGCCAACGCCGCAACGGCGGACACAAGAGTGAAAGACCTCATGGTGTTTAGACTGACGAATTAGCAAAGAAAGAGCGTGGGCCACTGGGAGTGTTTAGGACGGGGTATATACCAAGAAACGACCGTCAACAAGGTAACTGGTTAAGGACGAATTCCTCGACGATCCAACGGCCGCCCCAGCAAGGCTGAGACCATCGAGTCTTATACCTTCCCACGTGTCTCCGTAGCACCGATAGGCGGATAGTTCCGCCCACCGGCTCCGCCCGTCAGCCCTTTCATCGACGTCAGCTCCGCCTCCATGGGTCGCCCAAACGGTAAGCTGGGGTGCATCCTGCACTATTCGGCACATCATCTTGGCCTTCGGCCGACGTAGCCGGGGCATACGAGTATCAGAATCTCCGTCGGGTCGTGGTTAGTGGGAAACAGGCCCTGCTGTGATTCGTGGACCCTCTTGAGCGAGGTTTCCGGGCTGGGTTTCATCACTCCACGTGCGGATCCACCGATGGGCTTCAGAGGTTGATTAAGGAGTGTCTGTGGGCATTTACACGTTCGGCTAACGCCATATGCTGCTATTCTCGGGGCAACTACCGGAATCGTTACGGAGGAAACGAGTCTAAGAGATCTGAAACCCGTCGGCGCTGGACGCTCCGACCGCTTCCATGGTTAGGAAGGATAAACGATGCTCTCCAGCCCCTGGCCAAAGCTTTCGTCATCGAGACTGGAATTAACGTTATATGCTTTTATTCAAGTACAAAGCGAAAAGGGGCAACCGAGGTACATTTCTTATCTCAGTTTTGGTGCTTGTTGAGGATTTGAAGGCGAGAGAAACTCGAAAAATGTCAAGAAACTTTTGTGTTTCACACCGAGGACCCCTGCACGCGCGCGTCGGCGGGTTCTTATTTTGTCGTGATTGGGGCGCTTCTTGCCTCGGTCCTTGGACTCCCGCTTTTCGAAGCGTTGGGGAAACTTTGCGAGTCGAAGTCATCCGAGAACAAAAATGACTTCTTGGTCATGTAAGAGCAACTATTGTAGGGAAGTACACTTATCAGAACTAAAGGAGCGAATCCCGTTTACCATCCCTTCCTTCTTCCTTTTTCTTCTCGTTTTCCTCTTTTTCTCTTCCATCTGTCTACTGCTAATCAATCCTCCTTTCGCATCTTCGGTTCTTCCTTTTCTCCTTCATTTTTATTGTATCTTTTTCTCTTATTTGTCCTTTGCTCTTCTGTTTCTTCTTTCCTCTTTTCTTTCTCTTTCTTTTTCATTTTCTTTTTCTTTTTAGATTCAACGTCTATCAGTCTTCTCTCAAGTATGACTACTGAAGGTACCTCTATCCAACTACCTACCAACCTACCTACCACTACTGACTTACGTGCGTCACGGTGGATAGCCACGATACTTCAACACTGCCCTTCACGTTATCCCTTGATTCCATGATTCTTTTTGTTGATAATAGTAATACGGATGTGACCGTGTGTGTGACAAACCATTGTTGCCCAACTGGTGGCCCAAGGGGTGGGCCTTGGTTGTATGACGTGGGTCAAATCTGGCGGAGAAGACACTTGATACTGGCTGTCTTGGACAACATGACGCCTGGCTGCGACGTACCCCGCACGATTCTCAGCGTTTAGCAGCCAATGGCCCGAGCAGGATTCAACGCCCATGATTCTGTTGGCGGGCGTGGTCCCGAGCTGCTGTCGCGTCGACCCGACCCGGAGAGGTGCAGGATGCACAACCCTATGTGGAGCTCACTACTGTGTGGGCTGCATTGATCGACTGAGTCGTCCCTGAGTCCCATGCCGGATTCCGCTCGTGAGGTTGCCAAGTGGAATATCTGCACGTCTTCGTTGTGGCTCAGGAGACCATTTATATTAAGGCGGGGAAGAATATATCTTTGAATCCTCAAGGTTCAACCTCGTGGCAGCGTACGAAAGGCAGTCCTTTTAGCGGGCTTGCACTCAGCGTTCACTAAAAACCCGAAAGCCGAGTCTGATGTAGGCATACAACCAAGGCACAACTCGGACGATACTATTAGCGGGGTACGGCTAGGGATTGTGTCTAGTTCATGTTGAGAATATTGGCTAGAGCTTGAGCAACTGGCAATCTATCACGCCCGAAGTCAGCTAGCCACCACGATGTATTCGTACGGATCGGGAAAGTGGCGTTGCGAATCAGCAGCTGAAGCGCAGTTTCCGATCGGCATATGCATAATTATATGCAGGGCACACGCATGTTTCTTCAGCTCGTCGCTGGAGGCGCCTTCTTCAGTGTCCACTGGTGCAGAAGGGGGTGAATTATGGGAGCTTCGATAGGTTACGCATCCCCGTTCCCCGCTTCCACGACGTTATGGTCGGCTACGGCGGGTTGACGAAAAGAAGTCTGAGTGCATGAGGCGACTGAGGATGATTTGTATCCTGGGGTTTTAAGAAAACCAGCGGTCATAAATAGGGGAACAGCCATCCATTTTCCTCTCGACCCGAACCTCCCACCATTCCAGACTGATAGTTCACTCTAGCCGGTCAGGTACCTTGGCTCATCACATCTTGAGATTTCTCGTTTGAATCAGCTATGGCGGCAAAGACCAAACGTCTCGATGACGCCCTGCTGGGTGCTCAACGCGGTCTGCTCATGCGGGCCGTGTTCGGGCAGGCCCTGACCCTCTACCTCAAGGACAAGGGGCAAGAGACCTGCAAGACAATCGTCGGTATTATTGCCGAGATTAGCAAAAACATCGTCGACAACTACCCTGGAAGCGGCCTCGTCGCGGCCTTCTCCCCTGAGCTATGGGGCACATGGCACAGCCGGTCAATCCCCATCAGCACGAAGAACATCGACCGGTTCAAGAAGTTCACCCTTAACCAAGGAGATGTCCTCATTTTCGTCAAGGCCCCTAGCCACAAGATAGCGGAGGCCATTGTCAATTCTGTGCACCAAAGGCTTCATGACCTGTCAACAAGGATGGAAGAGGTCAAGATGGGCAAGCGTAAAGACACCAGGATCATGGGTGGCCGCTATGTGGATGGCATCACCAACCCCAACGACCCCATCAGCCTGGCCGAGGATATCCTTATCGACCAGACGGATAGTCGGGGCGGACTCACCGGGTCGTGCTTCGGATTCACCCAAAAGTTCGAGTTTGACTGGCCGGGCATCGCCACCCAGGCCGCCGACACGCAGGACGAGATGATCGGCCGCAACCCGGACGGTGCCGCCCTGCCCCAGCATGCTGTTCACTCGCACGTACACCGTGCAGCAATCCGTAACGACAACGGCGACCAGCTCAAGCTCCTCCGGCAAGCTCTGCCGTACGGCTCGGACCATGAACACGCCGGCCGGGAGAAGGGCATCATGTTTGTCGCCTTTTGCAACGACCAGCAGCGCTTCGAGGACATCCTCCAGAACCTGATCGGCGAGGTTCCCGAGAGGCCAGTCGACAAGCTCATGACGGTGGTGCACGGAGTATCAGGGGGTTACTGGTACGTGCCATCCGCCGACGAGCTGAAGGTGGCGGCCGTCACTGGGCCCGAGGATGTCTACGAGGACCCCCATTGGGAGGTAACCAGTCCCAACAACGACTACCTCTTCTACAACTCGCAAGACTACCTCCACAGGATGGCTGAGGGCCGGTACAAGGAGGGGGACCCCCCCAGCCGGCGCTTGCTCAGCTTGATGGCCCGGACCTTCTCGCACTGGCGCGATTCCTGGATGAAGAAACAGGTCTTTCCGCGGCTGCCACACCTAAGCAAACTGTTGTCCGAAGACCAAAAGGGCACACTGGCCACAATCCCGATCGCCGTGCGCAAGGGCCTGGCAAACCAAAAGACCCTAGCTGAGTTGCTCTCGAACCCAAGGAGTCAGATCGCGCAAGAGAACGGTTTGCTCCGGATCGAAGCCAAGGAACTCATCGTCGGCGTCATTCCAGACTTCACGCTCGGACGCGGTAAAGAAGTGGTCCCCTATCTTTCCGACGAGGAGACCATGGCTGCCTGGCTGAAGGGCTCGCTCAACGAGTGGTCCGCTATGGGGCATATCGTGCCAGGCTACGACCTGCTCGTCCGGGATGGATTGAAGAAAATGATTACGGACATAAAGGACAAGCTGGCCAAGGTGTCTGACCCAGCAAGTGCCACAGCTAGCTTCTATGAGTCTTGCATCATCTCTCTCGAGGGCGTACAGGGCTACTTGCGAAACTGGGCCAAGATCGCGCAGCGGGCTGCCATCGCCGCCGGAATGACAGCGCCGGATGATGTGGCTAACATGAAAGACGTGGAGGCCAGAATGAACCGCCTGGCCGACGATGCGCCGGAGAGCTTCCAAGACGCCGTCCAGCTCATCTACTCATTTCACTGCTGTCTACACCTGGTGGGTGAGCTCACGCCGTTTGGACGTCTCGATCAAATCCTATACCCCTACCTGTCCAAGGGAGGTGGCACGACGCTTGAACATGCACAGGAGATCATCGACTGCCTGTGGGTCAAGATTGGCGAGAACGCCTTTGTCAACCGCGCCTTCATCTACGACTACGTGACGTACGGCACCACGGCCGTCTGCGGCCTCGGTGGCAACTTCCCACAGGGCGGCGGCATCAACCAGTGGGTGCAGCAGATCACCGTCGGGGGCTACAAGGCCACGGACAGCGCGACGCCAGAGTGCGGGGCGAACGCCGTGACGATGCTCTGCTTGAAGGCGGCTCGGCGTATCCCCGTCAACGCGCCGACCCTGTCCCTGCGCGTACACAAGGACATTCCCCACGAGTACCTTGACGAGGCAGCCAAGGGGATCTTGTCGGGCGGTGCCCAGCCAATCCTGTACAACGACGACAAGCTCTGCCCTGCACTCAAGGACTCCGCCACAGCCAACGTGGTCGACCTGAAGTGGTCGCGTGACTACGCCGCGGACGGCTGCTACGAACCCATGCTGGCGGGTGCTTCCGAGTTCACCTTCAACAACGTGGCGCCGCTGCTGGCGCTAGAGCAGACCCTCAACGAGGGTTCCACCTACGGCGAGGCCGGGCCGGAGCAACTGCGCGGGCTGAAGCAGACGTTCCGGTCCAAGCCGGCTAAGGAGTTCAAGAGCTTTGAGGACTTGAAGGACACGTTCGTGAAGCAGCTTGAGTGGCTCGTCGTGCAGTGCTACAACACCATGCTCGACGGTTACGGCAACCTCGCCAACGTTTGCCCCTCGCCGCTCCTCTCGGTCCTGATCCAGGGCTGCGTCGAGAAGGGCCGAGACCTGACGAACGGCGGATCCAAGTTCCACATCATGGCGCCGCTATGCGTGGGCATGTCCAACACGATCGACTCGCTGTACGCCATCCAGAAGCTGGTCTTTGACGACGAGACGGCGCGCGTCACACTCCAGGAGCTGGTCAAGTGTCTCATCTGCGACTGGGGCCACAACATGATCGAGCCGTACGAGAACCAGCTCTCGGGCACGGCCGACGCCTCGGAGCGTGGGCTGCGCTACTCCGAGCTCCGCAACGCCGCCCTGGCACTGCCAAAGTGGGGGAGCGGCGACGAGGAGGTCAACAAGCTCGGCGACTGGCTGGTTCAGACTTGCGTCGACCTCTGCGTCAAGGCCATCCGCCATCCCAACGCCACCATCAAGGCGCACCTCGACAACATCAAAAAGACGTACGGCGAGGACTTCGAATTCATCATCTGCCCCGGCATCGGCACCTTCGAAGGCTACGTGGGCGACGGCATCCCCTGCGGCGCCTCCGCCGACGGCCGACGCAGCGGCATGCCCATCGCCTCGGACCTCTCCCCCGTGCCAGCCGCGCAGGACCTCCCGGCCAGCCCGGCCTTCCGCAACATCTACCAAGCCATGGAATCGACCAAGTACAACAGCATCGAGCACGGCCTATCCAACGCGGCCCCCGTCGACATGAACATCCCCGAGTCCTTCCCGCTTCCCGAACTCCAGAAATTCGTCAAGAAATACGCAGCCGGTGAAGTCGGCAGCAACCTGATTACGCTGACGTGTGCGGACCTGGACACGTACCAGAAGTCGGTGCGGGACCCGGAGAAGTACAACCTGGTGCGCGTGCGCATGGGCGGCTGGACCGAGTTCTACGCGACTATGTTCCCGGCCCACCAGGACCAGCAGCAGCGCAGGCAGTACTTTACCCCGTGGGAGTCGGGCAAGAAGCACGCCGATGGGAAGGTTGTGGAAGTGGTCTGGAGGGATGAGCATGCGAGGGAGGGGGCCGTGCCGAAGCCGAGGGTGATGCTGAATGAGTTGGAGGTCAGGAGCTGAGTGGAATGTCGTGTCTTGTGACCTGTTGGTTTAATTCTAGCAACAAATTATCGTGTTCCTGTTCCTTGCCGAACACATTGCTTTCTTGTGTCCTTGTGCATGGGTGACAATATGAGGAGCGAGCGGCCGTAGCCAGGAACCATCCACTTCGGTTCCCTCCCGCCGCCAATCACTCAAGTACAGCAAGGACACAAGAAACCCTTTGATTGGCGCCGTGTTGAATCTTTTCTCCCTAGCCTACCCCACAAAATTACCGTCATAATGAATCAAAATGAATCATAGTGGGTACCACCTCAGCTGCAGATGCCGTCGGGCACAAACCTCGCCACCCAGTTGAGTTGCCTTCCACAGATTGTGTTACATCGGGCTCTCTTGACTTCATAACAGGCGCTGACTTCCTGTCTCTTCAACTGTCGCTTTGACTGTTCTTCACTCAATCACAACTTCAACACTTAGAAGCACGCAATATCAGATCTACCACTTACAGCAACCACCCAACCCAAGCCCTCAACCCCTGATAAACCGACAACATACAATCCAGTCCAGTCCAGCCCCCCACACCCCTATTCACCATGCCCACACCCACCCCCTCCCAGCCCATAACCTTCTACGACATCGGCTCGGGCCCCTCCAGCATCCCCTTCGCCCCCAACCCCTGGAAGACCCGCCTGGCGCTCAACTTCTCCCGCACCCCCCACCACACCACCTTCATCCCCCTGCCCTCCATCGCCTCCACCCGCGCAGCGCTCAACCTCCCCCCCAACCGCAAACACTCCGAGGGCGGCGCATTGCCGACCCTGCCCATCTTCCACGACCACGCCACAGACACCCTCGTCGGCGAGTCCTTCGACATCGCGCTGCACCTGCACGCGCACTAACGGTCCACCCCGCCGCTCTTCGCCCCGCGCACGGTTCCCATGAAGCGCGCTTTCAACGCCCAGGTGGACGCGCTGTTTGCGGCGCATGGCGATCCGCTCGTCGGGTATTACATGCCGTTTGACCCGGCCACGACGGAGCAGTCGAAGCGGGAGATGCTGCCGCGGTATGGGTTGGGGGAGGATTGGGAGGTGTTGAAGGTGGTGGGGGAGGAGAGGGAGCGGAAGATGGGGGAGTTTGAGAGGGCGTTGGAGGGGTTGGCGGGGTGGTTTGGGGAGGAAGGGCCGTTTTTGGAGGGGGAGGTGCCGATGTATGCGGATTTGGTGGTCGGGGCGTGGTTGATGTGGTTGAGGTTGTTGTTGAACGGAGGGGGAGTGGGAGGTGGTGAGGGGGTGGAATGGCG